AATGCCCTCTGCTCCCAGTCTTAACAGTTGAGCATAGAGCCCTGTCTTTCTAGTCCACATCAGTCCATGGCTGCCAGGAGGTTGATCAGATTCCATCTCTCAGTATGCACAGGACCTGCACAGCTGCTAACTACCAGTTCCTCTATTTAGACACTAGAAAATATACTCATTAAGTGCCTCTTTCCCAGGCCTCTTTTAATGTCCAATACCCTGAAAATCCTCTAAAACCATTTCAATTATGAATTCTGATGGAGACTAGAATGATGAGGAAGACTAAGGCAAAAAAAATCATGATGCCAAGAGTCTTCTTTTTTTTTTAAAGATTTTATTTATTTATTTGAGAGAGAGAGAATGAGAGATAGAGAGCACGAGAGGGAAGAGGGTCAGAGGGAGAGGCAGACTCCCTGCCGAGCAGGGAGCCCGACATGGGACTCGATCCTGGGACTCCAGGATCATGACCTGAGCCGAAGGCAGTCGCTCAACCAACTGAGCCACCCAGGCGCCCGATGCCAAGAGTCTTGGGAGGATTTAATTTAAGGGCATAAAATCTTAAATAGAACAAATAATCTCAACTCATTTCAGTCCAGGCCAGATGATAAGGCAAGTGAGCATGAATTAAAATTACAGGTAAACACACTGGGAACAGATGTGGGCAAGAACTTTTTTCTCCCAACACCGAAAGTCTTAAACATGCAGCGAAAACCCTCCAAGGTCATTGGCGACATTGAAGCTACACTTAGAGCCAATTATGAGGGGAATAAAACCTTGAGGAGGGTGTCAAGAATTCTGGAATGGGCCAAATGACTGGTGTGTTTTCCTGGAGCAATTTGGAGGATCCGCAGTCAAGATTGTTGGCTTTTTGCCTCCCTTTAACGGAGCCCACTGATGATTCATGAGCCGTCTTGTTCTTCTGGGGCTACATTCACACTTTCATTACTTCTTCCCAAGCAGGAGCATAGAGGTCACTCTGGTGCCCACTCCCCCTTTTCCACCTCATGGCCACACACTTTAAGCGGTCAGGCTCCCGCTACAGCCATTGCCTTAACATAATGATGAAAGTAAGCGAATTGCATGCTGTTGGCACAAACGGTCCTGAGGCAGCAGAGAGAAACTGCAGCGGTGATTAGGACCGTTCTGGCTGTTACTGGTGGTGATGGATACCTTGGGTCCCAGCAACTGCAGGATGGCCTCCTCCTGCCAGTGTCCATCACTTTGGTTCTTTTGGCTTGTGTCTTCCCTAACTGTCCTGTAGTCCCTTCCTTAGGGACATCCTGGCTGCACCAATTGCCCTGTGGATGTAATCATGGGCTCAGCTGATTACCTTCATTTTTCTTTAAAGGGCAGAGGAATTAGTGACAGCATGTGGCATGACCCAAGATTCTAAGAGGCAAGGTGCCCAAGCCCCTCGTCTAGATATCAGTTCTGTTGATACAGTGAACGCCATAAATCTGTCAGAGTCTGTTATTCCCAACTCTATGGTTTTAGGGTTAATTCCCACAAAGAGAAAAACTCAGCAAAAATCTTAATCTCTCTCCTTGATTAGTCATGGGGGGGAGGGGCAGGCAGTGGCAAACTGTATAACCATGTAAGAAAATGGGCATGACTCAATAAAAATTAGTTTCAGAATCAAGGCAACGAGTTATACTTTGACAAGTTATAACTCAAAAAATGGGTTCAACATTATTTCATATATGAAATACACAGAGCCAACAACATAGCTAGTACTAAAAATTATTTCCTTCAACGTCACAGACATGACAGTGACAGCATTATTTCATGTGGTCAGAATGTATCTCCAACTACCTCATCTCCTACATTTAAAGAATTCATAAAATATAATCATTAAAACATTTTTTTTTTAAAAAGAGCACTTTATGCATATTATATAGCCAGCCAATTGGGGCATAAAGCAAAAAGCACTTTCTGTGTTTTCTTAAATTCCCAGTCTAAACATCCTCAGGGCGGCTCAACGGAGTCCCATTGAAAATAAACCCCAGAAAACTTCCATTCCCTAAGCAGGCCCGAAGAAGGTTGTGATTCAGACTTCTAAGGAATGATACGCTCTCACGGGGTGATTTCCCTCAGACTAATGACCTGACATTCACAGAAAGACAGAGAGAGATGATAAATATGCTAATTAGAGGCCCTTCATGCAGATATTGAGAAAGGCTATAGACACTTCAGTTTCTGTAATCAATAACAGCAGGGCGGAAGAAGACACACAGCTGAAATCATACCACTGTGCTTATCCCTGAAATACGCATCTCAGGTCATCAGGAGCTTGCCTCTCTGCTCACTTACTGCCTGCCAGTCAGTACACAATCTCAATCCACAAAGCAAATGGTACAGCCTCCCTATATGCAGGCTAAAAATTACTTTACATAAAAATTGAGTGTCGCCTTTTCATTACTTTCTGTTTTAGAGAGGGGCAAGGAGGAGTGTGGGAGGGGAGAGGGGGGAGAACTGAATAACAGGCCTTCGAGAAGGCCCAGTGGGCTTTCCGAGTCTTGTCAGAACAGAATGAACCAACCCCTCCTCTTCTTGTAAGACGCAGAAAACATGAACACAGAGGAAAAGGTAAAAGACAACTAGAAGTCCAAGGGGAAAAACATTTCCCATAATATTACAAAAGACTATTATGCTACTTCTGAAGATCCTCTTAGGAAATAGATGGAATTAAGAGATCTGGAATAAAATTCAAGGGGAGCACAGTTTGAAACAATACACCTCGGAGCTCACCTGAGTTGCCTTTTTGACAATCGTCATATAAGTTTTGCATTTTCAGAATAAAGAGACTAACCGACCCACAAAGGAAAAAAACAAAAAACAAAAAAAAACGCCCCTTTCCTTTTCTGATTGTCTGCTATGCAGAGCAAGCCTCAGGACGTGGACAAGGGGGCTAGATGTTCTGGGCTCTGCTCTGCTTTGGGTCAACAGAAGGGATTAACAACAGGAAATGGTGCTGAAAGGGGCCTTTGTCTACAATAATGCTTTCTCCATTCCAGTGCCTGAACTCTGAGTTGGGAGTAAATCAGAGAACCCTAAGAGAATCCATATACGCGAATGGTTTAATTCAACCCATTCCCCAGAAGGACCTCCTCACCATATCTTTTCTGAAGGTATTGTCTTGTTCCTGTCAAAATGTAGAGTTGTCAAAGAGAATAACCCTTTCGGACACAGACACCTCCAAAAGAAATATGAACAGCCCCCTCCCAACAAAGCTAGTAGTTTCCTTCCAAAAAAAGGAAGCAGGAGAAAGAAAATCCTCAATTTCACAAATTGGTCCTAGCCACAATCTAATCTAGGAAGTTTTACTCCTGGCCTCCCACTTTTCCCTCAAAGCTGTGTCAAGGTGTGCTAAAAGCTACCGGATTGCAGCAATGGAGCCCTGAATGACTCTGTTTTTCAATGAGAGATCCCATCTCTTAGTGTCTTCAGTGGTAAAGAAGCGCACGCATTCTGGAGAAGTATTAGCAGAAGCAGTGACACCAGGTCTATTGTAAACTGGGTCAGAGCAATGAAATTCCTCTTGAGTTTCTGTGGGATAATCAATGATTCTGCTCTAATGAAACCATAAATCAGGAAGGATTTACATAAACTGAGTCTCACTTGGCACCTCCACAAATAGCAAGTAATGGATTTTGCATTAAATTATAAGACCTATCTTACAACCCTATCAGTTACTAATAAATGTATCCCTCTGAAAATTCCAGCCAATCTTTAAGTGTTTCTACAGCATCTCAACTGCTACTATGCTTGTAGCTAAAACGCAGACAAATCAGGGAAGATATTCTGATGGCATGATTAGCCATTCTTAGTTATCAACATACTAAGTTGTCCTAGGAATTTTTACCCAAATGTAGCCTTCTCATGACCAAGCAACCTCCACATAAGCTGAACACTCCATGATAAAACATAGAACATTTCTATGTGTCAGAAGATGCTAGAGGAGGGGGTCAACAAATTATGGGCTGCTACCTGTTCTCGTAAATGAAATTGTATTCTAACAACCACACTCATTCATTTACCTATTGTCTCGGTTACTTTTGCAAAACAGCTGAGTTGAGTTGTTGCAACAGAAACCTTCTGGCCCACAAAGCCAAAAATATTTACTCTGTGGTCCTTTACAGAAAATATCTGCCAACCCTTGCGCTAGAGAAAAGATAGAATAAAGTGAAATATGGAGTAACCTAAGCTAAACCACTCTGCTCTAGAAGCTTTAAGGGGGAGCTGGAAAGGATCCAACTCCATTAAGTATTTGAGAATGTGGAGAAGGATGTGTGGTGGGTGTAGCTTTTACATCATAAAGAGGAGTTTGACTGGATTGGTTCTGTAAGATTTTTAATCAATTTTAGGTTCTCCCAATCCACGTAATTCTACCAGGGTGAGTCCTTTCAGAGAGGAAAGGTTATCTGATCCAGGGTTTAAAGACGACAAAATTTGGGAAAGAAGACAAGTCCAGGAAAAGAAAGCAAAAACAATTTCTGCCAGAGAACGAATTAGCAGTTAGGTGTTACTTAGTTAAAGCATTTCCCCCCCTTGCGTGAAGTAAAGTTGCATGTAATCCTCTGAATAAAGATTCACTATAGGTCTCTGCCTGTCAGATACAGGAATTGGTCCACAGAAAGGGCTAAACAGTATGCCTACCGATGCCACTCATGAGAAAAATCTAATAATGATGATGGTTATAATAATCATTATTGCAGGCACTATCATTCTTCTTATAGGAACTGTCACTTACTGAACATTTATCACATGCTAGGCATGATACTAGGTACTTAGGCATTATCCCATTTAACCGTCCCAGCGGGCCTGAGAAATAGACTATCATTACCCTCAGTTTACAACTGACATGACTACGGCTGAGAAAGGTAACTAGGACACACAAGTTTCACGGTAGCAGAGTTTTGAGCCCCTGTTACTACCTTCACACTATTCATTAAACCCTCATGCGCCCCACCCTCATCCCAACTACAGCCCCACCACCAAGCCCCCCTTACCTCTACAGACACTGCAGCACTGATTCTCTGGGAGAATGTGGTCCTTTTCTGAGCAGTTCAAAGGAGGGCACGCCTCTGTAATCTTTACTAAAACTCCACCCTGGAAGCCAAATCATCGGGAAACAAAAAAAATGTTTATATTTTTTAGTCGATGATACAAATATATAACACTCATTGTTAACAGCCTGCAGTGATAATAAGCTTCAATAATTAACAGTACTCCCAGGAATTCCACAATAATGACAAAGTCGCAAATCAAACTGATGAGACTCCTGGCAGAGAAAGCATCCTTTTCTGTGTCTCAACAGCCTCAACTTCAACAATAATTTTTGAGAAACTACTATGCAGCAGCAGGTCACTAACAGTGGTATGCTGCAAAGGTAACAATAGGCTGTTGGATGGGGAGCCCTAATTTGTAGGGCTTATGGATTTCTGTGGTATGAATACCCTGACGATGACTGATTTTGAAATACCAACATGGTGTCACTGACCACAGAGTCGGGAAGTTATACAATGAGCACTCATGAGCTTTTGTGAGCCAGCTTTAGCACTCCTGGATCACATGCACCGTGAACCAAAAGCTACATAACACATCTTCCCCGTGCTTGGGGAGTTCCTAGTTGGAGGGCAGGAAGAAAAAACAATCTCAACTAAAAACCCTAAAACAGTATGGTAAGTGCTAAAAAATGTTCTACAGTTAAGATATGATAATGTGTCGTAAGAGAATCATGCTGTCCAGGAAGGGAGGAATGATAAAGATGATGCCACATTTGAATAATGGAAAAAGGAAAAAGAGACTCTCCTGGCAGACAAAACAGGCAAGAGCCAAGGCATCCAAGTACGAATGATCTGAATGAGGGTTAGATGAGCACTAGATGTTTCGCTGTATGTCAATAAAATAGCTTACAATAAAATTTTAAACATTCACCTGGTGAATCTTTATGACCTCATCCACCAAAGGTCTTCTTTGGTGACATCACTAGCATCTGTATTTAGGGTTACTCTGAATTCTAAAAATTAGTCCATTAATTACTATAAAAAAAGTTTGAGAGTATTTTATCTAAAATATAACGTTTTTCCCTCCCATTCCTAAGAAGCTGTTTACGTCAACTAAGAATCAAGCTTGAGAAAAGGAGTCTCATTTAAGGCAAAAAGGTACTTCTCAACACAGATGGGGGAATGGGATGGAGCTGGCCAGCCAGGAGGGACGGGGGAAGATAGAGGTTCCCATTTCCGAGACACTCTCTTTCCTGTGGACCATGGGACAGGAACTCCCACTTCATCAGGCACATCCATTCCTAATTATGAACATCAACAATTATGAACAAACCAATTTGATTTCTAACTACTCATCATTTGGATAATTTGTACCATGGCTTCCTCTCGTTGCTCATAATGTTCATCCTGACAGTCCTGCCCCTGACATTCCTTGTAGTGTCTTTTCATCCTCCTTGCTCTTGGGCTTCTTGATCTGCTCCAAGTTATCCAGACCTCTTGCTTTTCTCCTACCTAAAAACTGGCCCTAAGATCAGAGAACACAGCCTGCTCTACACGCTCAGTCTCCTTCACAGCTACATCCCCTTCTCACTCCTCAATTCAGGCCACATTGGGGGGCACCCAGCCTCAAGAGTTGGCACTGGTCCTAAGCCACTGTGCCTATCAGTTGTACCTCAGTTCCTGCAACAGGGACTCAAACCAATCATTACAAACCAAGAGACATTAATAACCTCACCAGCTGTAGCACAAGCTTTAATGTACAGGAAAACAAAATGCTTACTCACCATTAATGCCTCTACTTCTATCTGTCAACATCAATGTATTTACTATCTACTGCCTCCTTGCGTAAATAAGAGTGATGGACATGGGTGGATCCCTTTTAGGAGTTCTGTGTGCCCATCCCCCAGGTTCCAAATGCTTTGCTGTTAATGGCTCATCCTTGCCACCCTCAGATGGCACTCCTTGGACACTGGATCCACTCTGCCATGCAGAGAGCAGAGAGAGTTACCCACAAGTTCTATATCCCCACTGCCAGAGCCCAAAGCCAGGGACTGACAGGCACGGGAGGCTCTTTACCTCAAGGGGAGCCCATGGCTGGGGTGTAATTTACACTCCACCACCCCTCCAGAAACCAGGGTATGTGAGGCCTTTCACCCAAAATCCCACTCTTGCTCGGTTCCTTGCCCTTCCCCATCCTGCATCCTCCACACCCTTACTGGTTGCTCCCAAGAGCACTACTTTAACCGATCATTCATACTGAAATCCTTAGTGCAGGGTCTGCTTTTAGGGGAACCCAAACCAAGACAGTAAGATACATTTCATTCTAGCTGTCAAAAATAACACTGTTCAAGATTCTCTCTAGATGGTGAGATTCTGGAGCGATTTCCTTTTTCTTCCTTGTACTTTTTCCTCTATATTCAAAATTTTGGCATTTGGAGTATGTATTTGCTTTTGTTAAAAGATATTCAAAATGCTATGAAGACTTTTTTTAAAAAATCATCACTCAAGTTTTTTGTGAAAAGGGCTTGCCTTGACTGCTGATTAAATCAGACAATTCTAATCAACCTTTAACATATTTAATGAGCAAGATCCTAATTCCAAGTGTTTCAATAGAGACAAACGCCTTGGCATGATTTTGAAAATAATATGAACCGTGATTACAGTAGCATAAGGGCCTCTACATCCATTTAGTCCAGCCACATAATTAGGCACAAAACCTTTAACTTTATTTTCAAAACTATTTCTGGTAAAAAGTACCTGATAATTAACATTTTAAATTCTCCTGATTATAGTATGTTATTTTATGACCCCTAGAACTCTGTGTTGGTGGAAAAATACAATTCTTCCATTCTTTCTCATTTAGAGTGACAGTCTCTGTGTCATTGGTCAAATATAAACACTTTCAAGTTCTTTACTAATCACTGTGCTTCAACCTGAATTTCTAATAACATAAAAACTCACATCAAGTCAAAAAATTAATGCTAAAGAAATGTTGGAACACAATTGAGCAGAACTACTAGAAGGGTTTATTCATCTTAGTTAAAAAAAAAAAACAGTATGTTAATTTCTAAAAACACTTGGTGAAAATATTTGAAACAAGAGTCTGCTTCTTGTTCTTCACACGCTTTATCTCATTTAATCCACCCAACATTGTAGGTGGTAATGTGCCTGCCCCAGGTTGGAGACCAGCTTTCCCCATGCCCAGGTCTGGTGGCCTGCCTTGTTGACTGAGAGACCACAGAGCCCTCGCTGCCACACCATCCCTGCCTCTGCACACGCACAGCATCCGCTGATGCCCAAGGACCACCACATCTCCATCCCCACCAGAGTGTCTGGAGCAATAGAATCTCTGCCATTCCCGGTGGCAGCCAAGAAAGAGGGGATAGGAAATTCGATAGGACAGTCAGAGGGAGTTAACCCCTGGAGGTAAATTCTGGCCAGAGAGAGGAAACGGGTAAGAGCCTTTCCTCCACCCAAACCCCCCGCCAAGGCCCCAGTAAAGAACTGGATTCACGCTCCTCCAGATCTTTTCCAGGTCTCTAAATGTCTCATTCTCCATCTTTAAAATAGATTCCTTTCTTTTCCTCAGGGATGTGACGAAAAGCAAATGAAATGGTGTAGTTACAAGCGCTTACAAAGATGGGCTATTCTGAGGCCCAGTGGTTCCGGTCAGCCTCTCTGGAGATGCCCCACAAAACCAGCAGGGCTTCCTTGTAGGACTGGGGCTGCCCTGTGACGTATCACCCGGTACGCGTGCCCCTCCTTCCCTCTCACTCTTCCACGCCGAGGAGGGCATCTCACCCACGTAACTGCACGGCCAGCTCCCACACGTTGTTCAGATGGTACCTCTGCACAAAGGCCCTCCCAGACCACCCACACCCACCCAAAAGCTCTCTCTCCAGCATGCTTTCTATTTTTTATGGGATTCGGCAATATATCGTACATTGTTTATTATCTGTCTCCCCCACTAGACTGCAAGTTCTATAAAAACAGGGCCTTTGTTGTGTTCACCTTTACATACCCAGTATCTAGTACCGTGCTAGTATGTAGCAGTTGATCAAGGTATGTTAGCTGAATGATTACTGAAGATCTCTGCTTCTACACGTCTTATTCCAAGAAAAAGATGGGTGGGGGCAGGCAGGAGACAGGCATTTTTCTCACCATCTTTAAGACACTTGGGAGTAGAGAGAGCACCATCCAGAGCTGGCATCACAAACAGATTTCCCCAAAATCAACTCAGAATCCTTTCCCAGGGCCCCCTGCCAAGCTCCCTGACTCCTAGTAACTGCTGGCTCCCTTCACCCTCTCACATCCTTCGATAGCTTTCCCCAAGGCTACCTGATGCACAGCTTAGCACAAGCTAGCAGAGCAATGACCGTGGGTGGGACCTCCCCATCCTGGCCAGCAGCCCACCAGAGTTTCCCCTCAGAGACCCATTCAGGCCAACCTGCTCCACTCCAGATCCCTACCAAAGCCCATCTATCTATCTGGTAATTCTCCCCAAGGGATGAGGATCATCAGATGGAAACTTACTCTGCATTCCCGGCAGCTCTTAGTTAAAATCCGCTGGCCTTCTGCAAGGACTTTTCCTCCATAGATACATTTTGCTGTAACAAAAACAGAAAAACGGGTTAGTCATGCTATGCAACTAACTGACCTCAGAGCTGCCATCTGGCTTCAGTGAATTCTAAGCAAAAGGAATCTCTTTGCAGGGCGCCTGGCTGGCTCAGTTGGTGGAGCATACAACTCTTGATCTCAGGGTCATCAGTTCAAGCCCCATATTGGGTGTGAAGCCTACTTAAAAAAAAAAAAAATAGGAATATCTTTCTCTGGAGTAAGACATGGGGAGAGTGTAAGGACAACTCCTGGGCCCCCGTCAAATGGTCATCTTCACTACGTTTGCCATGAGTCTGTCACACTATGGATACACAGCTATTTCAATGTCGCAGCTGCTAAAGGAACCAGAAAATGAACTGATGTGGTCCGAAGTTAAAACAAGGAAGCAGCACTGGTCATCTCCACGGGGTACAATAGTGGTACCTTTGATTCTTACACTCCAGCCATAAAATGAACGAGTAGGTAAAAGGGGACTTCTATGTTCATTCATCAGAACCTCAGCCACAATGCAGAAGGACACCATTTTTTTTCTCTCTTGTGATTGTGGGAAATGCATGCCCTTATACTCTGTGTTCCTAGTAAGCTCAAAAACCATTGAGAAATACAAGCCAAACCAGTAAAACACGTACCAATGCACTAGAGAGAGTGTTTTTTGGAAAGGTGAGCTTAACAGCCTAATAGGGAAGGCATGAAGTAGAGGTAGGCCTTGTAGAAAAGGTAAAAGCATAAATGGAACTCCCACCATTCAATTTAGATTCCACTGGGACTCAGTCCTCAACTCAACTTGCTGATGCACTTTTAAACAAGTGCAGAGTATGTTAATTTGATCTGACCCTAATGGGTCTCCAGCCACATCAAAAGGAACAAGGAAGCAAAGGTCTGATTACTCCCTCTCCTGCACAGATGAGGATCCTTCTACCCTAGTCTTCAGGAGAAGCAGAAGTGAAGACACGCACTCTAAGGCATCTCTATCACTCACTATGTGTCTCATAAAAACTACCTTAGCTCTTAGAGTCTCTGTTTCCACATTGGTTAAAAACAGATTAATTTGGTAATTTCCTAGTTCTACAATCTTCCAACTCTCACGGAACGTTCAAGTATATACAGATTTCAGCAGTCAACTTGCCCAACAGCCTGTTGTTAGCCACAGGAAGAGGAAAGCCCAGAGATCTGGTATACTTAACATCATGATCCCATAGTGGATGCAGCGGTGTGCTACCCAGATCCTCCTCGATGGCCAAAGGACTCATTCCTGCAGCTGCTGGGGAAACTGACGACCACCAGCTCAGCTGAACAGTGATCTAGGACTTGCTCTTGTTTGAAGAGAGCCACCTCATCCAAGGTCAAATGCTCTTCCTAGGCCAGCCCACATACAATGAGTGGTTGGTAAAGGTAGGGCAAAGTCCTGGCCCCTTGCCCCAACTAGGGATCCCTCTGAAAGGTCATTCCAGCTCCAGAACTCCCTAGAGGAATGACTGAAGTGTTTAACTGTATTGCAATTCAACCTCTTTATCTGCCCAATTCCGCTTCCTTCAGGATCTCTCTCTACCCTAGAACTGATCCTGACAGATCCTTCCTAATAAAGGACAAGCAAATCTCCATTTCAGAGTCTGCTTCCTCTTAGAAAATGATCTACAACAACCCACACCTAACTTGAATCTGTTCAGTTGTAATATCTCCTTTCATGAACGGCACCATTATCTACCCCAGCACCCACACCCTACCACCTGGGATCCTTTTAACCTCTCCTTCTTACTCAACCTGGCATCTAATCAATCTGTATCCAAATCACGACAATGCTCCCTCCTTAAGTTTCTCAAGTCAACCTACTTTTGTCTATTCCCCACCACCTGCAACTATCTTCATTCCCTCCTCTTTAGTACCCCAGAACCTCCTACTGTGTCGCTCTTGTTCTGGTCTCAATCTTATTCTGTTCTTCCCCATAAAACAGACATATTTTGTTAATTACAAACACGAGGCCATGCTTTAAAATCATTAGGGATCACTAATGCCCTCAGAATATAGTCCAAATTCCTTAATTCAGCAAACATAAGCCATTCAAGTAGCTCTTCCTTCTCTCTCAAGCTTCACAGCTCAATTCTTCTGCATTTATTCCCCACCCACCCCCCAAACATTCAACCTCCACGTATACCCTAGCCACACCTTCTCCTTTGTGTCTGGGATCTGCACATGCTATCATCTTCCCCAAGAATAGGCAGCCTCATGCACCGTCCCCTGGCAACAACCCCCTATCCTCTATACCCATCAGTTTCAACATAAGCCTGACTTCCAGCACTGGTGAACTGCCCTTTGTGTTTCTTTGGCACTCTTGATCTAGCTCTAACACCTCACCTTTTGTCTCAGTTGCCCAATTCATTATACATCTCTCCTGCTAACTATAACCTCCATAAGGGCAGGGTCTAGGTGTATTTCATCATTTCATCTCCAGCCACGAGATCAGTGCCCCTCTGGGATTAATAAACAGTAAGTAATTTTAGAATCAATGTGCCTACAGTTGGTAGTGAAAACAGTCAAAAGTTCTGATTCTTTCTGCTAAAGTGGTTTCAAACATGAAAAGCAGATATGAGCTTCAGAACAAAAACAGCAACAGAAAATAGAGAATTTTCTACATCAACCCCTCCTTCCTACCTTTAACAAATTATCCATGACCATCTTTTATGCCTCAATTTTCTTGATCAATCAGTTGACCATGATTCATTGGTCCTAATGATGACGTAGACTCCCCTATCTACCCATATGGGGAGACCACACATCCTCCAAGGGCCTGGAATTCCTGTCCAATCAACTCCCACACTCCCAAACACAGCTGCTGTCAACTTGGCAAGATGGCTTATTCCAGAGTGACAGCTCTGCTAAATGCCCTGCTGTCAGATCTGCCATCTGCTTCTTGGCCCAGGCTCAGAAGCAAAGAAACGGACTTTTCTCCCTCATTTTAACCTTGTGCCCCACAGAATGGTATGAGCCCACTTGCTACCCTCTTTTATGAAATCTGCCTGATTCCTCTCCTCTGATAGGAGTTCTAGGAGGAGTCTGTCTGGAGATAGCAATGTCTTACTGGTTACATTCATGCCACGCACAGGGAAACATCCCTCAAATTCACCAGTCCTGTATAAAAATAAATGTCCACTAAACTTTATGTCCTCACACAGCAGGGTGCTTTGGGGGCTACGAATGACATCAGCATCATGCTACATGCCTTGACCATTTGCACTGGTGCAGGACGTATACATAATTACAATATCAACTCTCAATGAAATGATCTTAGGACAACTTGTGGGATCACACCACTGCAGGTCACAAGAACATCCCCTGCTTTCTCATGCTCATCCCCCATTTATCTGACCATACCCCTCCTTTTCTGTCACTGCCTTCCATACGCCTGACATCAGTCAGTCCTCATTATCCTACCTCTTGATCGCAGCCAAAAGGCTTATTGTTGATGTCTGACGAAATTCAAGCATAAGGTGAGTCAGGCTCTAGTGCCTTTGGCTGGGGCATTTGGGACTCCATTCCAACAGCTTTCAGTAGGAGTAGAAATGTAAATGGATACCTGAAGCCCTTCATATCACACTGGGGACAGGCAAACTAGAATATTTCATAGTGTACAACCATGAAATTGAAACCTGGTACCAACACACACTTCTCTGTGATGTCAGAAACAAATGTACTGAAGATTAAGAGAAAGTTATTCAACTGCATCTTTTCCCACCCACAGACATGGGGCCCTTCAAATTTGGACCTGATTTCTCCAGTGCAATGACTGGACACTTTTGCCATCTGGGTGCACACTGAAAAAACAACTGACAGGCGGGACTTGGCACCCCTGTCAGATACAGAGATTAGGTTGCTCTGTCTTTATTTAGGTATTTGTACCCTACACACACTCCAGCCATTCCGTGACCATCAGTGGGTTAGAATATCAAAACCAGCACTTTGTATTGCACTCTAAAGGAGACGGGCAGATCAGGAAGGCTAACAGGCAGGAATTCTCCTTGCCTCAGTGAGTTCATTCCCCAATCTGGCTCCAGATACCACCTCTCTGAGCAAGACTGCCCACATCACGCTGGGTGTCCCTCCAGCATCTCCAACTCACACGTGCCTAACAGAATGTATTGCACCCTGCACTACTTCCTCCACCTGTCTTAGTTCTGTTAATGACACTAGGAGTCCCCTACAGGCTCCTGTTCAAAACCTGGCAACTTCTCCCTTACAGATGCTCCACCCCTGATTCATCTGTCTTGTACAAAAAAAAAAAGGTTATGGAGTACCTACCATGTGCCAGGCCTTTGGGCCATCACTCACATCCATCCCTTGCTTTTCATCTCTCGAGGCAGTGGAGGCCTGTCAGTCTCATCACCTCTAGCTGTAATATGCCTGAATCCCATACCCAGCCACCCTGATTCCAGCTCTCCCGATGCAGCAGCCTTGGTAAAACACTTTGATTATGCCCCAACCCTTCCCTTGAATTTTGCTTTTAAATACTAAAGTCAATGCAATGTCTGCTTCCTTGAGTTTTGCACATATGATTCTGTCAGGTGTGTTCTCACCTACCTTGTTGACATGGCAAACTCCTATTGATTTGATAACACCCTACTCAGCTGTTACTTCCCCTGTGAAGTTTTCCTAACACACACATGGTTCTGATGGACTTAATCACTCCCTTCTCTGGGCTACCTCTGCTTCTTGCACAACATGCGTGTTACACAATACTTTGTCGTAATGTGGTGGCGCCTCCATCTCCCTGGACTGCAGTGGGGAGAGGAGATGGGTTAAGAGCATCAGCTCTGGAGCCAGAGACCACCTGGGTTTTATTTTGGCTCCACCAAGGCTGAGAGACCTTGGGAAAGTTACGCCTCTGTGCTCTTGTGGGTCCTCACCCACAAAATGGGGCTAACAGTGGGGACCGTGTTTGGGTCACTAGAAGGGCTCAACATGGTGCCTGCCATAGAGCAAATGATCCACACATGCACACTGTTGTACCCAGAGGGAAGGACAGCACTGGGAGAGGAACCTGAATACGAACAACTGCATCAATTCAAAGGAATACGATTGTCCTCACGCATCCCACACGCACCTTTGCAGATTTCTACTTCTCGCCTACTGAAACCCTGTTATCAAAGTATTTCCTTTCCCTCTACCACCTCTTTTCCTTTGCAAGTGCTGTTTTGCATAGCTGGAGATTCCCTCTCCATCATCCTCTCTCTTCACTCCCCACCCTCTGCAGTAGTTCTCAAGTCTGTCTCCCGAAAGAATAGCCTGCAGGGCACCAATGTTCAGAGATTCTGACTTAGTAGGTCAAAGCGGGGCCCTGGTAATAAACTCCTGGACCATCATGTCCACAACTGATGAATCTAGAAGGCTCTCCAGAGTTTCTCCCGATGCCTCCAAAACAGAGAGAAGAACTTCGTAGGATCAGGATCTGAGACCTCCACAATGAAAGCTACCTTGTTCTTGGAGACCGCATGAGTGTCTGGGCCTTTTGATCAAAACAGAAGGACAAAGCACTTTTTCCAAGGAATGAACTAAGACATGAACACTTAGACCAAATTCTTTTTCCTCTTTCCAAACAAACGCCCCCATCTTTAAGTGCTGCAGCTCCTGAGATGACAAGTTCATCAATACTTAGTAAGTCAGCTGACAAAACCATTTGCTTTTATGCATCAGCTCCTTTTGCCTGATCCACATCAATACCTTTTCTGAGAGTTTCCAGAATACTGGTCCACCCAAACCCAAAGAGAAGCTTAGGAAATTTTACCTGAAAAGGACAACCGAAGTCAATTCTCCAACCTTTTTCTAATATGAAGGTATTTGAAACTTCTAGAAATTCTACCTACCGGTGTTGGAACTCTACTTTATTAATCCTGGTTCTCCTCTGCTCCACTCCACTGTTCAACCCACCACAGTCATCTTCCAGAAGGCTAGAAATGTTTAGTTTGGCTCCACTTCCTCCAGGGAGCACCCCAGGCCTACTACCGATATCCCCTTCATCTCCCCAGCACTGTCCCACAAGCCATCTGTCTACATTCTGATAGTGCCTTATCCATGTGCCTAATGTGACTGCACTGAGAATTCTAGACACTGTAAATCACCCAACTTGAAAGTGAGCCCTCTCACCTTCAGGGCCCATTTATCACCACTCCAGGAACCAGCACTCAGTAACTGCCTAATGCATATTTCTGTTAAAAATTATGAAGAAATGAAAACCCTCTAAGCCAGAGGTTCATAACCTTTGAACTTTCCAGAGGTGCTTTACATCATTTCTCTTTGGTTTACTTTTTTTTTAACTAGTGTTCATTTATTTTTATTACCATTTTGTTTAACTACAAACATATCAAACCACCAATCGGAGCTGTTGAGAAAATTAGTACCACCTAAATTGCTATAAATTCCAAACAAAAGCAAAAACAAACACACACACACACACACACTGATGTTTTAGTTAGCTGTATATCAGCATGTTAGTAAAATCGTGTAACTTTCTAAAATATTTTTCAAAACTTAAAACTTTCAAATGAATTGGAAGTGACTACCCCCAACATTTCTACTGAGGGGACAATGTGACATACATCAAGAGCCTTGAAAATGGCAGTGATTTAGCCCACTGATTCTACTCTGGAGAACTGTATCTTAACAAAATATAAAATACAAAATGCATTTTCTACATAAAGCATGTTAATGAAGAGTAATTTATACTAGTGAAAAGTGGGAAAATTGGGGTGGTTAAATAAGTTATGCAAGCAAGAGCCAAACAATGGAACACCATGAAGCTCATTAAAATGAAACTTATACAACTGGGTGGTGGACTTAAAGAGGGCACATGATGTAGTGAGCTCTGGGTGTTCCAGAAGACTGATGAATCACTGAACTCTACCTCTGAAACCAATACTACACTATGTGTTAATTAATTGAATTTAAATAAATTTTTTAAAAAAGTTTATACAGTGTTCTTTAAAGCACAAGAATACACTTAAGTGACAATAAGTCAATGGGGGGGCGGGGCGCCTGACTGGCTCAGTTGGTAGAGCAAGAGACTCAAACTCAGGGTCATGAGTTCAAGCCCCATGTTGGCCACAGAGTTTGTTTATATATATATATATATATATATATATATACACACACACATATATATGTGTGTGTGTGTGTGTGTGTGTGTGGAAGTGAATGAAGTAGGATAAATATTATCCGCACAATAAGTGTGCAGATAATATTCACAGAAAATAGATAAGTGTACAGATAATACTTCACACAAAATAAAATTTAAAAAATGAAATCCACTGAAATTTCAAGAGTGATTGTTTCCAAGTGGTGGTATTAGGAGAGATTTTTCCATCATCTTAACTCCTGAGTTCATACGTTACACAATAAACAGATTGCTTTTATAATTAGAAAATCAAAAGATTAAAACACAAAACAGCACAAGACTCATCTATTCCCACGTCCACACAACTTCCGAGAGACAGTATTCACAGACCTGTCCAGAAAACCCAAAATAATGGACTAAAAGTAACTCATTTTTTAAACAAATTCCCAGTAGTTTTTCCTCCTCTTCTTCTGTTCACTGTTAGAATATCAAGTTTGTACAGTTTCTCTTTTTAGATCAACGCCAGGTACCACCCTCCAGAGAAATAGGTGTACTGTGCCAACCCTAAGAAGGAAAAACATTCCAAAGTCCCTTTTGAAAAAGTGCAAGAAAGGTCTGGGCTGGTGTGACCAGACCAGCTATCCCCACCTCCACTGTCCTATTAGGAGAAAGGCTGTTTTTGGCAAAAAGCTAAACCACTGTGTTTCGAAGACCCAGTGATGTTGATATTTTTAGTAGAGAAAGGACCTTGAATGATGACCTGTTTCTAACCTAGACTCTTGCTACAGAAGACCCTATAGTTTGAAAAAAAGTCGATGGGCTTTGTCGTCAGGCAGCCCTATTTCCTACCTCACCACGGTCACTTACTAGGGTTGCGACCTTGGTAAGTTAACTTCCCTAAGCTTCCTGTAAAACAGGGGTAATAATACCGACCCGAAGGACTGCAGTGAGCAGTTAGTAAGCGAACAGAAGTGGAGCCCCTACATAGTAACTGGCACATACCAAGCATTCTTAAGGACAGCTTTTTACTTTTACGGCTGATCTCCGGGCTCATTTCACTATCTCATCTGAAATGGTGCCCTTTGCAAAACAGAGTAAGAATATTTAAATCCTGTAGCTTGGGCAGGCCAACTCTGAAGGCAGTTATGTCAGTATCTTAACTGAGGCTTATCTCGAAATTCCTAACAAAGGCCTTTTAGTAACAGGAAATCTGGCCAAGACCTCAGAAAGCCTAAATACAGTATCTGGGTCTTAAACTTCATCATTCAGAAGGAGAGGGACCAAAGCACATGGAGCTTTGGAGGTGTGACCTCATAGATAAACACAACCAATTACACCAGGTGTTTGACTCTAGACAAGTTGTTAACCCCTGTGAACACCAGCTCCTTCTACAGAGAATGGGAAGAATAGTAATTAGAGTTGATATGACATTTTTTTTAAATAGCTTATGTAAAGTATCTCCACATCACAGGTGATTAAAATAAAGAAGTTCTTCTTGTCATACATTTACTATCAACTTCTGGTACTTCATGTCATCAATATTCATCGGCGGGGGGGATCTCAAAGCAGAGAGGACCACTCTGACCCTCCGTCAGTACTTACGTCGGCAGACCTTACAGCACTGGCCAGCAATGTGCACGGGGAGGGAGTCTGGGGAGCAACTGAGAGGGGCACAGGACATCCTTCGACATTCGACAGCACCACTCTGAGGAAGGAAGGACAGGGAAAAGAATCTCAGAAGTGCCCTTTGAAATTTCTCTTTGTGGCAAAAGCACACATCTCATCTCAGAAACCTCATCGGGGAAACAGATGCAGTGTGAGGAATTCCCAGTCTACTCCAGGATCACACATGAAGTATTTTCTCCAGCCCAGATGAACCTGTGCCACCTCAATTACTTTTCTGATATACATCACTGGCTTCATTCCACCTGCCCATGTGGGCTAAGTAGATTAGGCAGAAAACAAAAGCCTATTTTTACAAGACCATAAATAACACATTTTGCAGGCCGTGCCAATCATTATTGAGGCTCTAACAATTCATTTTGTATTTTCCCCAAACAAAGGCATTCTTCAGATATTTATCAAATAATTTCAACTGCACAGCACAGAGTTCACATACTAATTTGGGGGGTGCTCTTGAATTCTCTGAAACAGATGGAATATACAAATGATGGATACCCTGGAAGTCGGGGGGGGGTGGGTGGAGGTAGGTCTTGCAAGTCTCTGAAACAGATGACAGATACCTTGTAAATTGTAATAAAAACATCTAGAAACTAATTAATTATACCCCCTTTTAAAATGTATTCTAGCAGTGAAAAGTTGTGAATGAAGTTAACTGTTAGGTTGCTTGAAAAGTCCCAGGAGTCCCTTCTTCCCTCTGATACTCTCAATCCTCAAACTCCACACAGTAAATTTGTTAGTAACAAGGTTAGGTCCTATTAGAGTGTGCTGTCAAATAGAAGCAGATTTTAATTTCCAAGTATTTAGAGATGAAATGACACTCTTCCAGGTTCCCCTCACAATTGCTCAGGTTGCTAGGCAGAAGTTTAGTAAAAGGATCATATGGACTTCCTAGAGCCAGCATTGGATATTGCAAGACCAGATTATACAATAAGTAGTGAAAATGCCCCCCTTACAACTCTTTTTATTTACAAAGAGGCTGGGGCGCCTGGGTGGCTCAGTCACTGGGCGTCTGCCTTCGGCTCAGGTCATGATCCCAGGGACATGGGATCGAGCCCCACATCGGGCTCCCCGCTCCATGGGAAGCCTGCTTCTCCCCCTCCCACTCCCTCTGCTTGTGTTCCCTCTCTCGCTGTTTCTCTGTCAAATAAATAAAATCTTTAAAAAAAAAAAAAATACAAAGAGGCTTACTTTGCAAGTACAGTTCCGGCAGTGATCCCCGTCAACCCAGGAGTCTTGATCTCTATAGAGAAGTCCACTCACTTGACAGGTCTTCTCACAGTGACAGTTTTCCAACTGACTAAGTCTCGTCTCTGCATAATTTAACTGCAAATAAGAGTTACTAGGTGTAATTACTTTCATTCAGTTGCATTGTCCTAACAAAGCTATTAGCAACAAGAAGGAAAAAAAAAAAAAATCCGAGGAGGAGGAAAAAAATGCTCAGAGGAGCTTATTCTTAGCCAGATTATTAAAAAAAACAAAAAAAAAAACAAAAAAAACAAAAAAAAAAACACCATGAGGTGGAATCATTCTATACTGAAGACATATTGGCTCCTATGGTCTAATGAGCACCAAATGAGACATTAAACTATATCTCAGGGACCTCATGGGCGTACATAAACATGTGTGCTTCCAGCTCAAGCCCACACAGAAACACTCATAATGAATGTATTCTCAAGGACTCATTACAATGTTTACAGGAGACCTCATCAGCAACTCCGATGCACTCACATTTACCTCCCACCGTTCTCTCCGTGTTCGCACGCTAACCCGAGCACCACGGTTTTCAGGCTGGGAAGTCACGGCTTCCTCCCTTCTGAAAAATTCCTGGGAGCCGGGGCCAGGAAAAGGGAAACGCATACAAGGATCTAGTTTCTCCCCTGCTCAGGATCCCCCAGAATGAATGCCCCAGGAATCCACTTTGGTGTTCAAAGGTAAGGAGAGGAAACCAAACCCCTAGGTGAGATCAGGATTTGAGAGAGAAACTTGTCTCGTTTTCCTAGGTCTTCCAGCTATTATCAGTTATACAGAACCTCAGAGTCTTTGACTTGAAAAGGGTTATAAAGTTTGAATGTCATGACAAGTAACCCCCTTACAGTGATTTACCAGCCTTTCTTTGCCTGTCTACAGTGGCAGGACGCTACCTTGAAAAACTTTTTTTGGTTAGCTCTGGATGTTTGAAACCCCTTTCTTGGTGTGAGCTGTGAAATCTCTCCCTGCTTTTCCTATCAGACCTAGTTTTGCCTGGTAATCAATCCTAAGCAATCAACTCTCTTCCAACATCTGAGGTTAGCCCGTCTTCACATCTGCTCTTGACCACACTCAGCACCACCAGGTTCACCAAATAGGTCATCATGATAGGAGTCCAATCCTCTCTCCTGATCACTTTCCATGCAGCTACTGCAGTTGCCTTCAAACATATGGTGCAAAAAATATTCAACTCTGATAGAATCTCATACACATTCAAGTGTAATTCAATCCAATAGCAATATTACCATTTTCCCCTTTTCTTTAGAGACTGCCTCGATTGAAAAACAAATACTACTTTCTAAAAGTCCAAGTAGTTTCTATTTTTTCTCAACCACACTTCCACCTCTGTCTTCAGTATTTTCCCCACGTAGATCAAGCCCATCCCTGATCCAAGTAAGACTATTTCAAGCCAATATTTTAGATATAATGGTTGAATATAGGTTGAGGACTCCCAAAATCTTTCTATGCTAACTATGGTTCCATTCCTTACATGTTCCTCTCAATTACTCCTACCAGCACTGCTGAGCACCATTCTCTAAAAATGGAATCCACATGCAAATCCAAACTTGGCTTTTGTCATTTATTTCATTCTCTTCCTCCCAAAGTTTAGAATCTCTCAAGAAAAATAGTTCCCTATCTGCCTTTTGTGGGCAGTACCAATGGGCAGGTAAAAAAGCAAATAGGATGCTAGACAAACCACATGCACCATCATCAGCCCCCAGAAAATGTGGAGTTAACTATGCCTAAAATATTAGCTTTCTAGGACCCCTCCCATATGCACAATCTTCCAAAAATTCAGATCCATGTAAAGCTCTAGCTTAGTTTCTAGAATCCATGCTAATTAATTTCTTTGGAAATTCTTTAGGGAACACATTAAATACACTTCTCAGAATTTAGTGAGGTCAAGTGAGTAAAACCACATACAGGTAAGAGGTAGCAAGAAGCGACAACTGATTGCATATTACCTTAACTTCATGTCTAAAGCCCCTGTAGTTCCTACAGAAGGGTAGTGATTGATGGATGACCTGGGGTTGAAAAAGAGTTCAACTAGATCTGCATCCCTCCTAAAAGTGGCTGAGAACAGTGCATTTGTGAGAAGAAATGAACCTCACTCTGAAAATCTGGAACGATCTACTGCCCGTACCACTCCCAGAAACTTCTTAAAGACTAAATGACGCAAAAGGCAATTCTGTGACTGCCCAAGTTTCCTGAAAACCCAGGAATTTGCCTAAAAGCAGTATTGTCAATTTCCCATACTGTCCAACAAAACTGAGCTACCTGCAAAACTCAATACCAAGAAAACCTCGGTTTTAATGAAAGCTATTCTCAGGACAGATGTTTCCTATTTTTTAATATATTTAGCCTTTTCTGACAACACTGAAAAGCCCTAATCTCTGTAATAAGAGCACATGAGACGACACAAAAGCAAAGACACATTAAGGCAAAAAGCTAATTTTTCAGACACTTAATATGTAACTATACCTTCCTTTTCATCCCCTGCTAAATACTAGAATAAAAGGAGAAAAACAACTCTGAACCAAAAAAATGAATTACAAGTTTTCATTGGTATTAGCATGCTGATTTTACCCAAATTCATTTTCAAAAGCTATTTCTACACCACCTGCCATTCCCTCCAAGAATGCCTACAGATTCAAAATAGATCCAGTAGCAAGTCTACATCTCTATTCTTACCTTTGTTCATGCATTTATCTAAGCAACCATGGACAGAATCATTTATTCTTAACTCTACACATTCGAAGACAGACATCAGAGGCCTTTTTCACAGTAAGAGGTCAACAAATGGATGAGTACATTAGTCATGCAATGGGGTGCCCTTTTCTTTCTTTGAAATACTATTTATTTGGCATTTGCTACATTGAAGGGAAAAAAATCTTTTATTGTGTTAAACCTTTAAGCTTAACTGGAAAAATCACTATTGAGCTTGCAACACTGAAATTAAATATGTTACAAGCTGAAATGCCACTCCAAATGCTGCTTGATTTGCATAAATAGATTTGTCAAAGATTTGAATAGAAGTAATCAAATTCCCAGTCCAGCATCTCTTCTTCCTGAGCTTGAAGGCAGAATGCACTGACAGGACAGGTGGGACAAAAGCACAAGACAGGTCCCAACCCCATCACAATGTACCTGGCCAGCGACGGGATTGTTCCCACAATGTCAAGACCACCTGAGAGAACTTCCAGAGTAAGCCAGGGATCCATGGTCACTTGTAGATGGCTTAGGGAAGGTGACAGAAGACACCTTCGCTCCTTCCCTGTACCTCCTCTACCTTGAAAAAGGTTAATTTTGCCAGAATGCCAGGATTCTTCAGAGAGGGCTCTTATACACCCGGACCTGTCACCTGAAGATACACACAAACTGCTCCCATGATATGTCCTGTCTTCAGCAAGGGCATAGTCATTCTCCAGCATCCCCTGTCCTGAAGAGAGAAAAGGAACAGCAAGCCCTCCTGGGCAGGCCCCTGGGCTCATCTGGTGTCGTAGCTGTTTGATGTGATTATGGCTACCAACTCCTGTCCAGCTTGTGCACTGGGCTTGCTCTCTGGTAGGATTCCATGGCTTTCCACTAGGACACCATGTAAGGACATTCTGCTGCTTTCCAAGACCTCCTGACACCTCAATCTAAGACCAGGAACCTGATAGCAACTCACGGCTATTGCCAGGCTTTGTGATGCCAAGCCACTAGGCAAGGTGTCCATCTTCCCCCCATGGCTGCCTATTTTTTTTCTAGGTTTAACAACATAAAATGAACAACTACAGCTTACTGAGTACCTATTGTGTGCCATCCACCAAACCAGACCTTTAAGTTTCACTTGCCTGGTCTCATGGGATCTTCATAAAACCACAACTAATTGTCACCCTTTTAAATATGGGGAAACAGCAACTGGGAAAAGGTCAATGAGCCTCCAAGCTCCCACTTTGATGGCTGTGCAGGGGAGAGAAGTTAGGGAGCAGGGTCTGCCCATGTTGGGAGGTCTTAAAGGGAACTGCTACATAAAGATGTGGACCCAAAGGCCTGTATCCTCAGTTTGAGAGTACACATAAAGTAAACAAGGTTTGCACGAAGCAAAGAAAAAGACCTTCCTGTTCAGACCTTGGCACAGGCAAGAGCGAAATATCTTCCTTGAGAATTCTTAAAGAATTCTTGGCTGAGAATTCACCCGGTCTATCCTAGGTTTGCAGTGTGATTCTGAGCAGCCTCTAAGATCTGGAAACCTTTAAGGGAATCACGGAATATAAGATAGCCCTGCGTGGTCCTGCCAGAAACACAGAGCATGGGAACCCAGGACTCAACATCAACAGATTTCCAAGGAAAACAATGGACTATAACCAAAAGGGTAAGTTTAGGACCTTTGTTCTTGCCCTGACTTTTCCCCCTCCAAAAGCCACTACAAGCTCTACGCTCATGTTTCAATCCCAAAGGTAACCATCAGAACACACATTCCTCTCTTCCATTTTGCCCATTGTTCTTACCAATCTCTCTATCCCCATGCTTGTAGCGGCCAACCTGCCTCTCTCCATCAGTCATTCCTTCTTTACATCTTTTGTTTCTCTTTCCAATCCTCCCTTCTCCAACTACAGACATTCTTAGTCATGACGCAGCTTTCAGAATCTGAGCCTGAGTCCCAGCTCTGCCATCCATTGTCTTGGGAAAAGTTAACATAACATTCCTGGAACGGAGTCTTCTCATCTGGGAAACAGGCTAATAAATCAACCCCAACTCACAGGACTGTTGTGAGGATTAAAGTGATAAGAAATACAAAACATTTAAGCATTGTAACTAACACACAGCAAATACTCAATTTTACCTCCTATGACTGACTTTCTAGCTTTTTCTAAATTAGGGCCCATGGACCAAATCTGGCCACCCACTCATTTTCCTCCAGCCTATCAGCTAAGAAAGATTTTTACATTTTTCAAGGGTTATATTTTAAGCGATTAAATAAATATGTACATATTTTCTATTTTGCCTCTTGGCCTGCAGAGCCTAAAATTAACTAGCTAATCCTTTCCAGAAAAAGTTTACCAATGCTCCTTTTCTAGATTATTGTAGATTTCAAAATTTTGCAGTGAAAATGGAAGTTCTCAGTTTTCTAATTATAATTCTATTCACGGTTTGGAAGAAACAGACTTATAAATCTTCCAAAGCACCAGAGGCGGGGTTTAGAAGGTGGATGAAACCATTTTCTGCTTGCAATTGCCCACAATTAGATATCTACTACCTCACAAATGCCCATTTTACATAATAATGTTTGGAGGACAGAACTCAATGTGGCTCCTAGATAATGTATGGCTAAAAGGAGAAAAATGACATTCTCTGCAGAAGGAAAGAACAAGAAAGGAGCATCCTTAAAGCTGGGGAACCACAATCACCTGAGACTAAGTCATGTTTCTCGTTCCAAAAATTTGGTAGCAAGCTAAAATATAATTAACACTACTGAGATCAAGCTGCTACAGACGAAATTAAAAAAAAAAAAAAGTCTCTATATGCCACAAGCCGGGAAGGCACATAATTGGCTGCATTTCACATTTCCACTGTACTCTGAACTGAAAAGCTAATGCTTCAGCTCTCAGGTCTCAGGGTTTCTAACAAAAGTGTTGTCTCTCCTTTCCAGACAAAAGACAACTTGGCCAAAAACCTAGTTTGAAAGAGAAACCTTACCTTTGGTAGCACAACTGATGGGTCCAAAACACAGCCCTGTCTCCCAAACACTTACCTACCCACCAATTTTTTTTTTTCCACATGCCATGGCTGATGGCTGGGAGCAGTCATAGCCGTAGGTGGGAATAGGATTAATGTATCATTTTCACTGTTATTAAAATTCTTCCTTTCACAGAGTATAATGTCTCTTAGGCCCAACCTAATTCCTTCTTCGCCCTAGGCTGGGACTCACATCCACAACTGATTGGTATCATAACAACAGCATTAGACACATTTTCTCTTTATTCAGTGCCTTTCAACACAGGGCTCAGGGCTTTTCATTATGAATCTAAACTTCACATATTAAAGCCCCTAATTGTCCACATTTTCAGCTATCTTCTGGAGCAGCAATCATGTCTTGTTCATTAGCGACTCCTTTGTGTCTGACACAGCACCTGGCAAATAGCAGATCCTCGAAAGATGCTTGTTAATCGGATGATGGAGAGAAGGAAAAGATGTACAACTATAAAACTGAATGTGTTAAAAGAGAAACTTTGCTTCCTCTACTATTTAACTCAAGACCAGTCCTGAAATGAATCACATCTTAGAAAAGTGATATAATCCCTTCTTGCGACAGCAATCAGTTCCTAACAATGGCTATTTGGCCCCTTCTGATTATCGGCAATAATTCTTACACTCAAAACACATTAGCTTATAAGCAGCAGTGCCTCTGACCATGTATCATCTCACAGTGTTACTAGTTGAATGGCCAGCAGGCAAATTCCTTTTCCTCTCCCAGGGAATCTATAGTGATATATATGGCCTCTTTCTTCCAAGCATTCTTCAAGTAAACATTTTGATATAGCCTAATAGCATCAAAGAGGTAAATGGTTATGTTTACTATAGGTAGTCCTATTTCAAGTAAGAGTAAACCATTTTTTTTAGTAACATATTGCAGATAGCAAGGCTAAAAATGTTTCCATTATAGCCTATCGCTTGAAATTCCAGATAGGATGGAGAAAGACATGAAACATCACAAGAGAAATTTAGATACCTACTTTTGCAGTCATCTTGGCCAAAAGCTCTTGCAAATCCATTATTCCTTGCACCAGGCTTAAGAAATCACTGCAAGTTGGACAAGCTCAATGGAGAAAATATAAGAAATGTTGATACAGTGCTAAAACAATAAAGAAATTCTTACAACAGTAGTTGCTTGGCTATGTTGAAGGGTTTTTGCTTTTCTGGCTAAGTATTACTTTACAATTGGAGTGAAATCACCCAGGATTTCAAGTCTCGGTCTTTTCCTTTTATTAATAGGAGGAAAGAAAGGAACAGGAAAAAGGGACTATTAACTGAAAAGGCAATAGGACATTTTTTTAAATTAAAATCAAACCCCTTGTCTTTATGGAGAGGTAACTGGAAAACTGTGAATTGTTATATAGAAGAGGAGAAACTCAACACACATCTAAGCCAAGCAATTTAAATAAATGTTTACAATTTATACTACCATATTAAACCTATCTTCCTGAATCAATCTACAGAACCCAAACTTTTAATGTAGTCTTTTTCTTACCTTCCAGTGGTAATTCTATAAACACATAAGCTTTTTAAAAATTCAAAGACACAGAAGTATATAGTATAGATAATTATCTCCCTATCCCCACTACCTCAGAAGTCAACAGTTTTTATGCTTCCGGCAACATGTTTATTACCAATAAGTTACATAGTAATAGAAATTTATAAATGCTTCAAATTGCTACTTACTGCGATTCAGATTTGGACATTGAGTTATGTATCCATTTGGCATAAGGATGATTTTCCCATCTTGGATGATTCCCTTGATAACAGAAGAGAGAGGTGGTGATCAAGATTATAGTCACCGGTTCCAATGGCCCCTGTGCAGTCACATCTCTGTGCAGGGCATTTTTTTTTCAACACTGGTATCCTCACTCAAAACATAAGTTTGCCTGAGTCCCCAGTGAACTACTCCAAACCATCCTCCTGCAGAAATCTTGAAAAGTACATTCATCTTGAGAAACCTATCGTTAGATAGCACTGGTGGATGCTAATGACATTGTAACAGGAAGGATCTACCAGTAAATGTTCTTCAACTACTGAACCAAAAAGGCACTGATGAAACAAAAATTTCCTCAATGCCTTAGTCATCCTGGAACATTAAATTTTGCGGACTTAGGTGATTTTTTTAAGCGAGAGAGAAAAGAAAACAAATATATTAAAGTTTGAGTAGAGGAAATAAAATGAGACATGGAGAGAATTGCATACAATCTTTGCTCTCTGCTAACTGAGTAACATGAGTGTTTATTGGTGAGTCTTAAAACTTGCTCAGCATCTCACTGTGAGTAAAAGGGGGTCTTTTTCATTCTGTAACTTAGTCTGGAAGAACAGCCCTGATCTAAGGAAGTCATTGAAACTGCCATCTTGCAATGACAATATTGACTTGGCTTTGCATTTTTTAACTTGAATATCAAGTTTTTGGTTTTAGGGATTTTTTTTCCTCTTGATTTGACAGAAGAGATATTACAAAACAGATGGAAGATGCGGAAGCCAGTTCAGAATATTGAGCTTAATCTGTAAATAAAATATAGGCCTAAGATCATGCTGCAAGTCTTCCAGAGGAGATAACATTTATGTGCTCATCTTCTAAAAAGAAGGTAATCAACAAATGCTGTTTTCTGTTTTATTTCAAAATGAAATATGAATTGGAAACGTTAATAGAAATAATGGAATCATAGGACCTCTTTCTCAGAATTGGATACATTCATTAACTTCTTCCTCTTTGAGAATGATGCAGTATTTGTGAATTTAAGAGGAGACAGCCTCTCCATGGGGAGGAAGCCCCTACCACTGCTCCTCAATATGAATTCATAGTCTTTTCTAGGGCAATTCCAGAGAGCAATTAATGGAGCACCATCTAAGTCGATCAGCTTCTTCCTGGCACAAACCTGCTCAGTTTCTCAAAGCAAGTTCATGCCTCTGAGTGCCCAGGGCACCTTTCAAGCACATTTGAGAAATATGAGAAAAACATGGGATTGGAAGTCAGGAGATCTGGGCTCAAGGTCTGAATCCATCTCAAGCTAATTGAGTGAACTTGAAACAGTCAGCCAACCATCTTCTCTGAGCTTCAGTTGCTTCCTCTGGAAAAAAGGCTGGATGCAAAAGCTAAAGATCCTTCCAGCACTCAAGTTCTGGGTCAGCAAAACAGGCATTCAAACCAAGACTGTCACAAGTTAGATTTCTGTGCTCTACCTTTCAAGTTAAACAAAAAATTAGACAAAGCCATAGGTTTCCATCAAAGACCATTATAGAGAATGGAGAGACACATCAGAAAACATCTGTCTGATCTGCATAGATTGAATATGGGTGAATTCATAGTAACCAACTATCCCAGGTCTGCTCAGGATTTAGAGTTTCCCAGGACCTGGGACTTCCAGTTCTAAAACAGACTCACAGGCACACAGGGACAGCGAATCACCCTAGGAGATGTGCAAGTGGAGAAAGCATATATACCAGGAAAAATCAGGTCCATCTATTACCTGTTCATCAGAAAAACCTAAATCATTCTTATTTTTAATCAGCCATGGAAATGGTACTCAAACCCAGAGAACACTAGTCACAGTATTGATTACCTTTCTAAAAATGAATGGAAAATCCGTTTGAAAAGGATATCCCTTCTATTCACTCAGTAGCAACATAATTTAGTACACATCGGTTTTCCTTTTCCTATTTTTAAAGGTGACCACTGATTTTTAGTTACATTGTAAATTACAAATTGCCTCTCCCACACTTCCCTTCCACCTGCCCCCATCATCACTTCTGCCTTTCTACTTTTAATCTGAGCCACACAGGGGTGTTACACAGATCATTAGGTGAAGTTCAATGATGTTGACTTGAACACAAACAGAAATAAGAGCTGACAGCTTCTCAATGCCCATTAACACCAAAACTCAACTCAAAACTTGGTATTTGTTTCTGAGGAAAGGTCATGGGGGTCAGCCCACATACTGTTCTTGCCAAATAAATCAAGATGGTGATGTAATTTATTTGAACGGATGTAATTCCGTGTTAGACTAAAAGGATGGCCATACACTGTACAATACCAGCTGTAACCCAAAGAAGTCTGAGTATGTGTGTAAATATATATATATACACCTATATATATTTACATACACACACAAATGCGTTATATCCTAGCACCTTCCCCAGAACAGGAACCAGAAGGTTTTGCATTGAATTGCCATATGAACTCTTCTGTACCTGGACCTTTGTCAAAAGCAGCATTTGCTATGCATGTAGTTTTCTTTAGAAAATGAAAGGTGTTTTCTAAAGTATAAACCTATATAGAAGCTCACTCTTATTTCTCCCAGCAAAGTCATCTAGGACAATTTCTACTGATGATAATGTTCCTTCAAGCCCTAGCAACTTCTCCCAAAGATGAAATTAGACTAACAAGAATTTCTATTTGTTCTTATTTAACTTTAAATGTATCTACACTTACCTGAAAAATGCAACTCCTGCAGGGCATTTATTAGCCAGCCTCGCCTGATCTCATTTTTTTCAGACCCATGCTCTATTTATCATCATTAATCATGGCAGTGCTTCCCAAACTTTGAGTTTCTTAGGAATCACCTTGAGTAAACACCTCGAGTTGGAGTAAAACCCTTGAATGTAACATTCAGATTCCTGGGTCATCCGTCAAATTCTGTTTCAGGAAGGTTGAGTGGGCCCAGGAAACTTCATTAAAAGCTAAACAAGAGGATTCTGATGAAAAGTCAAAGAGTCCCACTTTAAAAAAACCCTGCTCTCTTGTCAATCATTTGTGGGTTTTCTTTTGGGGGAGGGGGAGGAACAGGAGGCTTTACTCATTAAAAGTTCAGAGTGGTGAAAACAGCATCATCCAAATCCTAATATAGGAATAAAATCTCAGTGATTTGGAGCTCAGTTGCAACCAACAGAATTACTAGATTATAGACACCATGAAGGCAAAGTCATATTTTCATCTCAGTGTCCCCTGCAGCTTCTATTGTAGTATATTTCACATAGCAGGCACAATAAATACTTGAAAAGCATGAAATTCCTAAAAACTCTTAATTATAGAATATTGAGCAGTATCATTTTCAGAGCTGGTAGAGTCTGTAAAGATCGTGTAGGGTATCAGTTTTTAAAGTAGGGGTACACATTAGAATTTTAGAGGAGGTTGGGGAGAACATCAGATATATTTTGAAAAGCTTCCAAGGTGATTTTGATACACCCAATGAGAGCTACTGATCCAGGGCCAGACCACCAGTCATTTGACCTACAAAAAACCTAAGGCTTTGGCAACCTAAGTAGCTTTCCAAAAGGACACCTTAATCTTAGGCCATTAACTACAGGTCTACTAACTCCAAAACCAGCACTAAGGTACTCCAACATGGTTTAAGGAGAAAATAGATCATTTGAGAAAGTCTCCTCGTTACATGAGTTACAACATCTAACAAGATGTTGCTAGAACAAGGTCCTGTGGTCAAAATGAGGTTCTATCTTTATTGCTTTAACAGATAGATACTTAATCAACCCAACATAAATTATCTACATTAGATACTAACAATTCGCTGAAATAGTGTTTTAGTGCTGGCAAACAAGAGATCCTTTTAGGTAGCTTAATATTCTCCCCCGCAATCTTATTTACACTATTAATCTGCTGAACAATCCGTTTTCTCATCGTTCCTGCAATGCTAACCCTCAGCCAAGCTGAGAATCTAAATAAATCCCTAAAGTGCAAAGCCCAAATCAATAAACTTTTACTATTAGTACGGGGGGGGGGTGCGGGATGGGTACATTTTTTCCTTTGTTGAATCCACCTGTTACCAGCCTCTACTTCCTGCACTGAGCTCAGCAAGCACTGCAAAATAGATGTGCACCAGGTAGGTCGTACATTATGAGTATTTGTTTGGGGAACTAATGCCCGTTATTTCCATTGTTCCAAGAACCTTTCTCGTTCCACAGTAAGAAATACACAAAGATGCAATAAAGATTAGAAAAATCATACCATTAAGACCCTCTTATGTATGGAATAACTAAGATTAGGCAAGCCCTTCTAACATTCAGAGCTTTCTCATACAAATAAAAGCTTTGCCAACCAACAAATGCTAATTCATTTTTAAAGCTCTTATTTCCCTGCAGATCTCTGTTTACATTGAAGAAAATGGTTCTTTTTGTATGCTAAAACACTGAAACAAATTGCTTTGAAAGGGAAAGGGGGTGGGGAAAGTTCCTGCTGGGCATGTAAATATATGGATGAAGATGTGTTCTGTTTATAAACTGGCAAGGACCCAAGCTTTAGCAACAGGCTAACAAAAAGACTTGAGAAACTCACAAGTTTTTTCAAAATGCAACCAATTATGGATTTCTGCCCTGAAGACAGTTAATAAAATATTCCAGCTTGCATAAAAGCCAAGAAAGACACTTGTCGACTTCCATTTCGATCAATAAAAACTGTCAGCTCATTAGCATACCATTAGCCATCCTGCTGTTTCCAAAGTCTTAATGCACAGAAATATTAATCTACAAATGTGTAAGATTCCCCAGCTCTGTGACTTTGACTTTCTGCATGAAAGGAAAAATAATTAGAGATGGGAGGAATCCTTTTCTATGTGCCTATAAACATATGTTTACCATCTGTGGAATTATGGGAACCAGCTGAGGTTTAAAAAAAAAACAGCTGTGGTATAAAAAAATTGTAACCAATTTCACTTCCCAGTGACAGCTCAGCTGTTAAGGAGACAGCAATGTCCAGATAAGGGAAAGATTTCAGACCCAAATTCACTGGACAGAGAGAGA